TATATTGTCATTATTATAGTGTATGTGGTTCTGTGGGTGATTGTGTGTGCGTGGGGGCAAGTACGTGGTTTTATATGTGCGTGTTTTGTTTTTGTTTGTTTTATGTTTTTAAATTGGAAAGCACTTTGAGCTACATCTTGGTATGAAAAGTGCTCTATAAATAAAGATATTATTATTATTATTATTACTATGTTTTAATCGTGATCAATGAGCGATCACAGCTCCAGCGGGTCCGACTGCGCTCACATAGTTTCTTTCATCGAGCCCGACAGCGGCCTGACTTTTAGAATTAGAAGGCTCTTGTTTCCAGATATATTTGTCAAGACCGAAAAGAAAAATACAGCAGATATCTCATTTTACGTGACTAACTTGTCAGATTGTTTATTTCCTGGTTAGTCGGTAAGGGGTCCTGAAAAGCCACGCCTACGAAACACCTGTCTCAGAAACGCTAGGAACGCCAGTTGATCTGGAACACGCTGCCGCTGATCCAGAACCTGTCCGAACTGTATCGAACTTCGAGGACATTTTATAAAATGGTCTTCCTCAATAAACTTTTAGATATAGACATGACTAGGTTTCTCCTTCAGGCCAAAAGAGCGCCTAAAACAGGAATCAGTAGAGCAAGAAAGTCACGGAAATCTTAAAACAAAGCAGAAGCTATCAAACAAAAATTCACATTCAAGCTTTTTTTGTTTTGTTTTGTTTAGTTAAAACAAAAACGATAACTCACCTGCTTTCACTCTGCCTATTCCCAGGAGGAACATTAGAATGAGGCTCTTCATTTTCTGCTGTTGGATCTACATCTTTATAACTGTGAGAAACTGTGAGTCTGTCCAGATGAAAACTCTGCGTTGTGATTTCCTGGTTGACATCTTGGATGTTTGGAGCCAGTGACGCAAAAACCGTTGAGGGGGCGGAGCCGGAGAGCAGTGATTGGTCAGACGGACTGAGAGGCGAGGACTCTCTCTGATCACCATGACATGAGCATCACACTGAACCTCAGAGCTCAGTCACAGTTACTGTCTGTTATTTCATGTCAGTCAGTCCAGCAGACTGTTTCTCTACTACAGTGTTTTATCAGATGATTGAGGAGCTCATGTAATCAGAGTGCTGGTTTCCCTTTTTCTTTACAAATCATATTGTCATACTTTGGAATAAAAACAATAAACTTCATTGTTCTTCTAAGGCAGTAAAATGTTCTTTGGCCTCATCCAGGGAAACAAACATTTCCTTAAGATTGAAAAACATGTTAAAAACATCCCACTTTCTATTTTGCTACAGTCACATCCTGCTGTGTTCACTCTCATGCTTAATGTTCCAGCAGTTGGAATGAAAGAACCTTGTAGATCTTTGTCTCAATGTTTGTGTCTTTTCCTTCCAGCCATGATGTGGATCATTGGGAACAGCTAGTCTGATGCGGGATGCACTGTTCTCATCCAAACCTTTAACATAAAGCAGCCGTATCTTAAGTTCACGACATGCTGCCACAAATAAACAGTACAGACGCATTTGATCAGTGAGAAGAGTCCTGACAGGAGGATCTGAGAGGAGAGACCACAGAGCATCACTGGAGAAAGGCCCACTTCCATTCCTCCTGTGTTTGCATCAATCAGGGATTTTTACAGTTCAAGATATGACACAGACTGTCACGATCCCAACTGAGACTCTCCAAGATGCTTCCTACAGTGAACCAGTGCTGTGATTGATGTGGACAGACACCAGCTTCATTAGCACACATGTTCCTGGACTGAAGCTGAAACACTGTTAACTATTGGACTAAAACACTCCAAACTCTGCTCCAGGTCTGACAGAAGCAGCTCAAACCAGACACGGTTCTGCTTGTGTTCAGTGTGAAAGTTGAGGCGTCAAATAATCACTAATACGTCACGTTTTGTGACACTGTGAGCACAAAGACACATTTTATTAAACTGGAAACAGAAAAACCCACCAGGTCACGTGACTTTGCAGAAAGAAGTGACGAAGCTCTTAAAAATATAAAATAAATTGACAGAGAGAAAAGGTTCTTAAATTCTATTTGATATGTCAACCTTTCATAGATTATTTCAGTGAAACCAACCTGTGGCTGGTAGGCTATTAGATACCACAGTGTTATTTACAGAGATATGTGTGGTGTCCCTTTTTGTGAATTTACTAAATATATGTANAAGCACGTTGTGTTGTGTTGTGTGTTTGTCTGTACATTCAGTGTCAGAAATCCAGAGCAGAACTTCACGCTTAACTCGGGTCTGTTCACTGAAACACATCAGTCTCCCACCACAACAACACGCAGCACAGCATTAGTCTGGTTTGATAGAATCATCAGAACAAACTGAGGCCACGTTGTCAGAACTCCTCACTGAGAAAACAGACACGTCCAGTCCTCCACGTCCTAGACTGTAATGTCATACAATCTGAACCGCTGACTGTATTTTTTTTTCTGTCACTTCTTAGAAAACACAACGAATAACCCTTCACACTTAACAAACTGGATTCTCATTCCTACTCAGCCAAAGCTCTGCATATCATCAGCACACAGTTTGTACATGTGGAGGTCACATCGTGGCTGGACAGTGAACTGTATGTTTGAGAGTATTTTTATTTAATGACATGCTGCTGGTCCTCTTTGGTCTACACAGACACTGAAGTGATCCTGCTGTCGTATTTCTGACAGGAATATTTAACGTTCACATTTACCGGTAGTTCAACAGCACCAACAGGCGCCTATAGCTCGTCATGTAAAGCCTATAAAACACTAATATTCTGGCTTTTTGATGGAAATTCCAGTCCATTGTCTGTGTGTGTTCGTGATTAACATCGTTTGAAATTACAGGTCAGGACGTGGAGGACTGGACGTGTCTGTTTTCTCAGTGAGTTGGTCTGACAACGTGGCCTCCGTTGGTTCTGATGATTCTATCAAACCAGACTAATGCTGTGCTGAGTGTGTTTCGGTGAACAAATCTGAGTTAAGCGTGAAGTTCTGCTCCGTATCTCTGGATGTTAAGTTGTGACTATCGCCAGTTGATCTGGGCGCGTTTCCTGAGTAATCACCAGGTGTAAAACATCTGGCTGAATGGAAACGATCTCTATGGATGAAATGGGTCAGAAATGAACAGGTAGTGTCATCGAGCTGATTGGTGGCACAGTGCGTAAAACACCGACACCGTGTTTTTGCATCTGAACGACGTGGTTTCGAATCCTCCCACCGGACTTAAAAAATACATGTTTGTTTATTTTGGTAGGTATGTTTGGTTTTGCTGTTTGTAGATAATATTGGCATGGATGTAGACTTTATTAACGTTTTCTTTTGTCGCCGAGGTCTTCTTTATGTCTTTATATCCTTATCTTCACACACACACACACAGGTCTGATTGTGACGACTTTGCAAACGGATCATCTGGAGGATAAATACATCCTCAGTTAACCTGGAACACTTTTCTATCCTGTGAAACATTTCATTTTTGTGAATTTAAATAAGCCAGTGTCGCGCAATGTGATCTAAATCTGCCTACATCGTATCAATGTATTGATGTTATACTAAACACTTGGCGTTGTGTTACCACACGGTTTGGTAGCCTTCGTGTCAGAATAACGTGCACACTGGGTTGGTCTCTTGTCTCTGTTGCTTTCCTACTAACATGTATTTATTCCAATGTCTTTTAGTTTTTAGCTCATTTTATTCTAATGTCTTTTAGTTTTTAGCTCATTTTATTCTAATGTCTTTTAGTTTTTAGCTCATTTTATTC